CCCACTTCCGCTTCTGTAGTTTGCTGATTTATTGTAATTTGTAGTGTTTTTCTGATTACCGATTTATTACGGCAAGATTTAGAAATGATAATTTGTAGTAAAGGGAAATAATACATTTTTCGTCAGTTTCATTGCATAAAAGGTGCACAATTGAAATTTTATCGCAGTATTTGCCGCAGTGTTACAGAATATAGCAGTATTACAGAAAAACAGAAGCGGAAGTGGGAAACTTTTTGTATTTTCTGGCTAACATATATATTCACATAACCGCAAGATATAAATGGTTTAATGGTTTAATGGTTTAATGGTTTAATGGTTTGTGGATGATCCTCGGTCGTGGAAAACAATTTGCCTGAAATGTAACCAGGCCCGGCGTCACCAAACCTATTGCATGTTGTTTTTAAATTAGATATGTATATATATATATATATATATATATATATATATATATATATATATATATATATATATATATATATATATATATATATATATATATATATATATATAATAATTTAATATTTTAATACAATTTTTCAATTGAATAAGTTGCTACTTTAAGTTTCATGCAACAAGCAATCATCAGGCAACATATTAATACGGTTAAGTTGGAACAACTTAACCGTATTAATATGTTGCCTGATGATTGCTTGTTGCATGAAACTTAAAGTAGCAACTTATTCAATTGAAAAATTGTATTAAAATATTAAATTATTATAATATGCTCTACAATTGTCTTGTATTGAGCACTCTTTATTCTGAAAAACGGGAAATTACTTTATGAAATTATATATATATATATATATATATATATATATATATATATATATATATATTCGTTTTACCTCAAAAAACCACAACAGTCTGTTTCATCCGTATAGGAATCATCACCACCTGATGATTCTTATACGGATGAAACAGACTGTTGTGGTTTTTTGAGGTAAACGAAAAACTATATTACGCTCTATCTGTATGGTATTGAGCACTGTTTGTGTTTCGTAAACCAAAATCTTAAGCTAGCTATATATATATATATATATATATATATATATATATATATATATATATATATATATATATATATATATATATATATATATATATATATATATAT